GCTTAGAATGATCAAAGAAGTGTTTATACAGTATTTTAATCGATACAAATTACTTTTAATCGATTAAAACTCTTTAGAACCCATTATGACTGATCAGATTTTAAATATGAGCGATCAGAACCTATTTCAATCGATTAAAACACGTTTCAATCGATTAAAATCACTTAAAGGGTCAGAATGATCGATCAGAATGCAGTTATGACCGATCAGAGTTGGTTATGATCGATCAGAATTGAATTATGACCGATCAAATCTGTTTCAATCGATTAAAACGCATTTCAATCGATTAAAACAACTTGGAAATATTTTGTGAAGAGTTTCAATCGATTAAAACGCATTTCAATCGATTAAAATAACTTGGAAAAATTTTGTACAGAGTTTCAATCGATTAAAACGTGTATCAACCGATTAAAACAAGTTGGAAAAATTTTGTACTAAGTTTTAATCGATTAAAACTTCTTTTTATCAGTTAAAACAACTTGAAAAGTTTTATAAGAAAGTTTTGCATATATCAATCGATTAAAACACGAAACAACCGATTGAATCAAACTTAGAAAAGTTTTGTAAAGTGTTTTAATTGATATAACCGTTGCAGTATCAACTAAAACAATTCTGTTAAAGAAACAAGAACGCATTAATGGATTGAAAGGACTTTTAACAGATTGAAACGGCTATTTCAACAGATTAAAACAAACTTTCAACAGATTAATTAATGCAGCAGTTTTTGAAATTACTCTTTAAAAACAGTTTTGCTTGAACTTTTTAAACATACATTGAATATCAGTTTTTACACATCCTTAAGCAATCATTCAAGCAAACCTTAGAACTTTTTCAAGAAAGATTCGCAACAATTTTTTGAAGTTATTTTGAAAATCTTTCATGAGGCAACTTGCATTCTTTTGAAGAAGAAACTCTCTGCGATTTGGATAAAGCTGGTTTGAGCTTTCTAGTTTCTTCTTTGTAAATTCTTTTTCATTCTTTTGTATTGTGTTGTGCCTGGAATTTGGGCACAAGTTTGTCTGCATCTGGAAGTTGGTTGTGGAGGTTATCAAGAACTGGAATTTGGTTCTTGGTGAAAGGTTTGGTGCCTGGAATTTGGGCACTGGTTTCTCTGCAACTGGAATTTGGTTGTAGAGGTTATCAAGAACTGAAATTTGGTTCTTGGTGGAGAGGTTGAGTACAGGAACTGGAATTTGGTTCTTGTACTGTGTGGTGCCTGGAATTTGGGTACTGGTTTCTCTGCAGCTGGAATTTGGTTGCAGAGGTTATCAAGAGCTGGAATTTGGTTCTTGGTGGAAAGGTTAAGTGCAGGAACTGGAATTTGGTTAAGATTGTTGAATCTGTAAAACATTTAATCTAGTGGAACCCAGCTGGAATTTGGCTGGAGACTGGACGTAGCCCTGGTATTGGGTGAACCAGTATAAAATACCGGTGATATCTTTCTTAACCTTTCTCTCCTTTAAATTCAGTTGCTGCGTTTATTTTGATTGATTGCTTTGAGATTCAAGAACATATCTGTAAACTTAATTTTCGAATTAGATAATCTGTTATTTGCGAAAAACTTTCAAAGATCAATTCACCCCCCTCTTGATCTAAAACTACTTTTCTAACATACTATGCATATGATATACTAATCAATTCAATTATATGAAATTTTGAGTATGCTTTTCTTTACTATTCGTCTTCCCCATCTAAACCCTATTTTCAACACGGAGATTCAAGTTCTGAATTTCTAGGCATAAGCAGCAGACTGTTCCAGGACATGTCACACTATTTTTTATGAGTATTCTTTATTTTACAATGATATGTATGTTTTGTTGGTCCATAGAAGTGTTAGGTGAGATCAAATTTTAGTTAACTAAACTACAGGTAAAGAGGATGATTACGGGGATCTAGGTACCTAGATGGTATGAAGATGGATATTAACGTTGTTACTAACATGGATATGGCGACAGGTACAAGTATCTTACAAAAGACATTACCTATTCACATCCATAATTTCAGTATAATTTTGGTTTAACACCTCATAATAGTGTTTTCCAGATCATAAGTGAACTTGCTTAGTCGTATAATCCTACGAGTTCTGGATAGGTACATATGATAACTCACAGAAGGGATTACTGCTTGCTAGAGTGCATACCGTGAGTTTCAGTGGAGAATAGCTTTGATCCTCTTTTTTGAGACTAATGAAGATGCTCTAGATACTTGCATCATTGTTGTTGGACATCACCAAACATTGCCATATCCATAGTTAGATGTTATTGTAACTGTCACCAGTTTTGTTAAATAGCAAGTAGTGTGGCACAATAGCGTAGCAAGTTTCACTAAAAACGCAATTATGATGGCATTGCATTGCAAAGAGAAATGCCATTGCAGCCGCCATGCTTGTTATGGGTCTTGCATCAAAGACCAGGCATGATAAAGGTGATCATGTGGTTTAATGCAAAAGTAAAGTCCAAGTGCGCAGATCAGGTAAGTGATTAAGGTTCATGTATGAAGAAATACAATGATAGGGAAGGTGTGGTTTGGGCTTGCTGCGAGACTTGATGTAAAATGGGCCTTATAAAGTTTAAATCAACTTAACAAAACTGATTTGTAAAATAAGGTTTGCACATATTTATGTACTCTATTTTAGCCATATCTTTGGATGGTGTGAGTTTTTTAAGACACCCTCTCATGCTAAGGATTAGGAATCTCAAACATAAGACTAGATATTTCCGAATGATCAAATAATAGCTTATGATAGACTCCAATATCATTTCAAAATGTGGATTTAAACCTAACTTAACCCTATCAAACCAACTTGTAAGGTGAATTAAACAATATCAAACTCTAATGTCAACTCGAAGACTAAAAAAGGTTTACAAGTTTACTTGTTGCTACAAGTCGAGTCATTTATAAACTTGTTTTTGTAGTAGAACGAACAAAATGGGTTAACTTAGAGTAGAATCCTTTTTGTAAACTCATTTAAAGAACATATGTTTTGTTGGTGTATGAACTTATTTATTTGTTGTAGTTTGAACTTATATTTTATTCATGCATTACTAAACTTAGTTATTTTAGTATTGTGGGACTATTGTTTACTATTTTGCTTAATTATGTTGTTAAAATGTTGAATTAGTATGTTATTTACAAATATTATAATAATTTTTTGTATGAAGTAAACACTTATGAGTCTTTGAGTCGAGTCTACATAACTCCCACAAGTCTACATGGACTTTCGAGTCTAATAATCAATGTTTACACCTACTAATATACTCTATTTTTGATATACCTCTAGGTGAAATAAGATCTGCAACACCTACCATGCAAAATTCTTTGGATGACAGGACAAGGCCATCAGAAATGAAGTCCACATTTCTATGGACCTTTTGAGGTGATTGACAAAGTGGAAGCTGTGACCTATATTTTGGTTCTACGAGCTTATTCTTAGATCTACCCTTATGTATATCAGCTGAAATGTGTTATCAATCCTAATACTAAAGAGGATCTTGACCTGCATGTTCAACAAGAAGTAGTTCCAGCCATAATCGCGCATGTTGGATGGCATTAGAGAGGTTCTGATATGCTGTGAAAACCTCTACGGATATGAATACTATATCAGGCAGACTGTGGTACCGTTCACAAGAAATATCCTCAATTTCACCTAGAAATGAGGACAGAGCGAAGTCTTATTGGGGGAAGAGCATTTAGGCCTATGAATCAAGTCAGCACCAGAAGAATTTCAGGTGTAATGGTCGGGCTGTAGGACAACAGAGCAGATCATTCTCTGGAGTTATATGATGAGTTACTGTGTGTCATTGAGGATGAAATTGGTGGTATCTATAATAGGAGCGTGAAAGAGAGGAAGAGGGTTTCAGGCAGGGGTCTGTCTTGTTGCAGGGTTTTAGGATGGAAGAAGGGATTAGATTCTGCAAAGTATCCTTCGTTTTTCTTCTTCATTTTATTTACTACACTACAATTTTCTTACCGTTTCTCAGTTATTCTCTGGCGGGAAGGAGTTTAACTCCTCTGATGATCCACAATAAAGTTTAGTGTTTCTTTTACTTTCCCATTATCTGCTTCCAAAAGAACAGAAAAAAAAAAATTTATACCCCACTGGTTAGTCCAGCTACATGGATCACCGATTGCCATTATGTTTGTCAAAAAGACAAATTCTCAGGGGTCTTTGCCAACTCAAGATCAATTTAACAATTTCTTCCAATGTCCTTATTGGTGTCCCTCTACCCCTCTCCTCAGGGATAAAATCCATGTAATGTAGTCTCCTCAACAATATCTCCAATCGACTTCTTTATATTACACTGTCATAACACCATAATTCATCTCCTCATATACAATAATCCCATATCCAGCAAAGAAAAAGGCCAAAACATAACACTAGATATCCTTAAATCAGACCAACTCCAGATAGAAGTGGAATACAAAGATGAAGAAAATGGGGCATCCAAACCAATCAGTACATTTGAATAACTGTCATCACATACACCAACAAATACTCCACCTAAGATGACTCGATAATTATTGCAATACCCGTCATCATATATACCCTACAGACCTAGAAGTGAGTTCACTTCACTTCGGTACACCTATAGTCTCTCTTGAACCGACCCTACCTCATTTAAGAAAAAGTCTGCTAACTTGGTTTACCAGTCAGTCAAAACACGGTACTCAACAACTAACTATTTGTTGGGCAAAATACCAAAATCAATTCCTTTCATTGTTACATGTACTCCAATATAAAATCTATGACCTAAACATATCCAGTTTAAAATCACATTCTTCAATGACTCAAAATTGATTCTATTCAACTTTAAAACAACCAGGATCTTAGTTAAATGGTAATCATTGATAGAGAGCATACCAAATAAAAGTGAAATACACAACAAAAAAGGACAAAACTGAAAAAACAAGGCTATGCTATGTTTCAAATCCAGGGATCATTATACACACGCATACACCAGTGTCAGTCCAACAAACATCCATATCCACCTTAGACAAAACTATAACATACCAGAGCCAGCAGCAGTAATAGCTTGCCTATACTTCTTGTCCTGAACATCCCCAGCAGCAAACACTCCCTCAACACTTGTCTTCGTAGTCCCCGGCTTGGTAACGATGTAGCCATCAGAATCCAGTTCAAGCTGACCGTCCAAGAACTTGGTCGCAGGCTCGTGCCCAATTGCGAAAAACAACCCGGATACCTTCAATTCAGACACCTCTTGAGTCACCACATTCTTCACCTTCAGTCCCCCAAGCACCCTCTTGTTATCTGCGCCTCCATAGGCTTGAACAACCACCGAATTCCAGATCACCTTGATCTTGCTATTATTCATCACCTTGCTCTGCATAATCTTCGAGGCCCTGAACGTGTCCCTCCGGTGAATTATGTACACCTCCGAACCGTACTTAGTGAGGAACGTCGCCTCCTCCATGGCCGAGTCCCCGCCGCCAATCACCGCCAGCGGTTTGTTCCGGAAAATTGGCGCGGCACCGTCGCAGACTGCGCACGCGGAGATCCCTCGGTTCCAGTAGCCGTCGGGCCCTTCGCCGGAACCGGGGAACGGGAGGCGCTTGGCGACAGCGCCGGTCGCGACGATGACGGAGTCGGCCTCCACGGTGCGGGAATCGGTGAAAACCCTAAAAGGAGGGCTTGAGAAATCGACCTTGAAGACGGTCTCAGTGTGGATCTCGGTGCCGAAGCGCTGCGACTGCTTCCTGCAGCGGTCCATGAGCTCGCCGCCTAGAATGCCGTCGGGGAAGCCAGGGAAGTTCTCGACGTCGGTGGTGGTGGTGAGCTGACCGCCGGGGGCGATGTCGTTCGCCATCCATCCTTCGAAGAGGATCGGCTTCAGCTCAGCGCGGGCGGCGTACACAGCGGCGGTGTGGGCGGCAGGACCGCTTCCGATGATGCAGAGTTTGGTCTTGTGGATCTGAATGTCAGCCATGGCGACGGAAGCGTGTCCAACACTAATCAAGTTTCGCGCCTTCGACAGGAGTTTCTTCCAGTTATGATTATTAGGGCAAATTCTAAATTTCATTTCCCTCCTTCCTCTTCCTTCTTTTAATCGTTATATTATTCGCTACTATTTTAGTTACGCGTGTAAAATTTACGTGTAGGCATTGAAAAATAGTTCCTCTTCCGTTCTACATGACTGTCATCGTGTTTTATGTCTCTATAAAACTTGTTTTCTATTGGTATTTTAGTATCATATTTTACATTTTTTTGTATTATTTTTTCACTAAAGTTATTTTTTAATTAGAAATAACACAATAAATACTTAACATGTTGGATTAATCTTTTACTTTTGATAAATTATTGTGATTAACTGTTTATTTCTTAATGTTATATTTTGAGAAATATGATGTAGTGTTTAACGCATTTTTTAAAATATTTTTTCGCTATTGACTGAAATTTATGATTTTTTTTTATATATTTTAGTTCTTTATAATGTTTTTTTCTTCTAATAACTTTTAATAATTTGTAGTCAATATATGTTAATAATTTTATTCTATATTTTTGGGGGTAAACATTGATATCATTGCCAGTTAAATGCCTTCCTAATTACAGAATCAAACCATGGAGGAATAACATAAAATTTTGAAGGCCTCTCGTAATTCTCCTAAATTCTCACCATGAAAGTTTTCTCTTAGAACAGCAGAAGGAAAGCACCTCTGCGTTTGAAAATTGACGGTGAAGGAATGTGAAAAGTGGGATTTGGAAGAGAATGATGTCGTGTTTTTGGGTTCGTTGACCACGACAACAGGAGGTAGAAACAATGTGGACATGTTGGTTTTGTTGATCTGGCTGATGGAATCTAACAATGCCTATTTGTTGTATGTTTTTGTTTTTATTTGTCTTTCTCCGTTTGTTCCGTCCACGATTGGTGTGTACACAAAGGATTGGACAAAGGAAAAGGATCTCGATAAATAGGGTTAAATTTCATTAAATCTATTATCCAATTATATTAAAATAGTTTTATTATATCATCTTTATATTATATTTGAGTTGAACCAACTTGATCAATAGTTGGATTATGTTAATAAATAAAAAGTATTATGTTAATTTTTTTATTTTTCTTTATAAATAATGTTTTGTAATATAATTTTTGAATATTTGTGTTGCATATATAATTTTTATAAATAATATTTATATTTATTCGGGTTCTCAAATAATATTTATTATATAACGAAAATATTTAAATTATAATATATTAATAAAAAGTATATAAATAAAATAATTATATTCTTTAGATTCTCATTTAAATAATTTTATTATTATTATTATTTGTACTGACTTAAGTATGAAAATATTTTTTTAAGCGTCCGGTGGACTTCTATTTTTTTATATAATTGATTATCTTACATTTAGATAATTTTAAGATTTATGAAAAAATCATAATAATTAATAACATTGAAAAATAATTAATTAAAATAAATAAGAAATGATAAATTATTATTATTTTGATTCATTTATAAGGAAATATGATTAAAGAGTTGAGGTTAAATGTTATTTATATATATTTTTTTAATTTAACATATCGAAACAATCTTTAATTAAAGATTAAAGTTATTAGTAAAATGAGATTTTATTTTTGATTTTATAGGAATTAATATTTTGTTTAAAAATAATGTCTAAGTTTTATATCCGTTATTATAATATTGATAGGATTAATTATTATTTTTTATTATACAATAAGAAAAAAAAATTGGAAGTTGAAGGAAAAAAAAAGATAGAAGCTTAGAAAGAAAAAGTGAAGTGAAATGAGAACGAAAAAGGGAAGTGAGAAAGAGAAAAAATTAGATAAAAAAGAGTGAAGTATGAAAATGAAAGGATAGGAGAAAAATATGTAAATGAAAATTTGTGTTAAGAAGTAAAAAATTGATATTTATTATTATTATTATTATTAAATAATGAGAATAAAAAAAAATTGTGCTGAGTAAATGTTAAAGATAGGAGAGCTCATGTTACTTGGAATAAAATACTTAGTTTGAAACAAATACGTGGCAGCTTCTGGATAATTGATTTTATGGCAAATTATGCAGAGGTGAATTAATACTGTTGATGTTGCTCAATGCAAAGGTGTGTCACTTTGTTCCATGTGCACTCTTTGTTGCCATGCAGAGGAAGCACTTGCATCACCTTTTCTTCAATTCAAACATTTTGGAACTGCCTAAATGAGTTCATTGCCTTTCATTCTTCCATTACATCTGTTGAGGATTTACTACATTTTATTTCTCACTCATATAGTCAGTAAGTCAAATAAACTGTTCATGCATTCATCATTAATGTTTTTTACATCATTTGGAAAATGCCCAAGTGAGATCTAATGTAGCTTTGTAGTCGGTTTTCTATTCGTGTTATGAGAACTAACATTAGGGACTTTTAAATTCTTTTAAGTATTTTAACATTGATATCTATAGGTTTAATGTGTTTTCCTATATGTGAATAAGTTTGATGTTACATTTTATTTGCATGTGAAACTAAACAATAAGAAGTAACCTAAGTCCTCTGTTTATATTATTAATAATTCATAAACAAAAAAAAAATACTAAAACTCAGTCTTTCCACCCTTTTAATTTGGAAAAAAATTAATTCAACATACTTCTTTTTTTCTCAGTCCAGTCAAAGTATTCCCTTCATAATCTTTCATTGAGCAAAGGAATAGACTGGGTTAGTGCATAGTCACAACCCAACCAAGTGTGGTTACAATATCAAGTTAGGTAAATTTTTTTTTCAACGTTTATTAAATAAGAAATCTTATTATTCAAATAATACTACTACTAATAATATTTATCATTTATGAAATATTTACTATATACTAATATCAAGATTAATTATATTAATTTTTATTTATGTAACTTTTACGAGTACTGCAGGAAAGTTTTTTTTTTTTTTAATCAACATGGATAATTAGTCTATAAAATTATGTATTTTCTTTTAGCTAGAAAGGCATTCCATACATGGATAGACAAGATAATATGCAATTACAGTGGGAAACTTACGAAGATAAGAAATGTTTTGTGAAACTTTTAATTCAATGAATGATTGAAAGAACTTGATAATGACCATAATTACTTGAAGTTAATTTTTAATATTATTACGAGAACCATTATACACCAACAACAAAAACACAAACAAAAATGTGTCGTCACAGCATGTAAATCAAACAAAATTGTGGAAGAATGGTCGGTATTAGAATTTGAAATCCCATATTATTTTGGACAGGGTCGGTAAGTAGAGCCAACCTGTAAGCCAATTTAGACACAACATGGCCTTGTCATAGCAGCCACACTATGACCCACCATCAAAACCCTAGTTTATTAGCTCAAAAGCTAAGCATGAGTGGATATCTAATCACCATCAACACTCATAAGCAAACAAACTTTCCTCATTTTAATATGCCCAAGAATGGATCTCATGTCTCTCAAATTATATAAAAAAGAAAAAAAAAAAACTTCAAAATTCAGAGATATGATTGCCACCATATTTCTAATGTCAACAATAATCTTCTCTTTAGACTTTGCTTTAGGTTTAGATTAGTCAAAAACTAGATTTTAGTGTTAGGTGGTTAATTATATGGTAATACCACCTTCCGAATCTTCAAGTGTTCCAACTAAGAAGAATGACCCATTCAGACATTGCAACGTGCAATCAAGAAGGAAAAATCTATCAATGTTATGCAAATTTGACTGAAATTAGACCTCAACTTTTTATGCAAAAAATTGTATTTTGAATCTTGTAAAAAATGTAAGTAAAAAGAGATATATATTCTACCAAAGATGATCATTCAAGTTTTTTTTTATAAAGATTAATCATTAATAATATATTATAATAAATATAAAACAAGAAAAGTAACTACATACTTCAGTAATGTTCAATGAAAATTATAATTTGAATATTTTACAAGTTATTATATGACAATCTTCACACTTGTTCACACAGAGAGAACAACCCATTACCGATGCAAAACTTCAGACGAAATTAATATATACACAGAGAGGGGACTATATCATATCTTATCTTATAAATGTTTCTTCCTAAAAAGAAAAAAAAAAGGAAAAAAAGAAAAATTCATAACAATCAAGAGGACACAAAGAAAGAAAAGGAAAAAAAAAAAAACCTAATACTTGCGTATTGATTTTCTCTACCAAAAAGAAGAAAGAAAAAGGAGTCACGAGTTTCTATCTTGAATATGACCAACTGGGTCTTGAATTTGGTCAATGGAAGAAATAGACGTTCGTTTGATGAACTCCAGACAATCTGCAATGGCTTCTGCATAGAAAGAATTATTCCTTCCGTAAGATGATAGCCTAGAATCAGGTTGGCCCTTGATTCTTTCATCCCTCACCAAACCACTTCTGCTGCTGTTGCTGTAGTTTCTCTTGAAGCCACTTTTTCTACGGAACACCTTCTTCAGAAGCTGAAGAGCCTGAGCATACGACAGTTTCCACCTATCAAACAGCTTGAGCAAGAAGTGGAACCTTTTCCTCAGGCGCAGGAAGTAAAGCCTTCTGAGATTTAACCTAAATCCTCTACATTTTCCATGGCAAGATGATGATGATGATGATGATCCTCTCCCACTACTAACCCTATTGTAGGTCATATGATCCATGCTGTATGTTTTGGCGAACGAGTTGTGTACAAATATATAAGGTTGGAGGGTGACTTTTTGGATGGTATAAGGTAATGATGATGGTGTGGTGTGGAGGAGAATGAAGCAGGTTGGAAATATGTGGGTTTGGACTGTTCTGGAACTTTGGACGGTCTGGTGCTGCGAAGACAAAGGAGTTTGAGGCGTAGTGTATGTGATGAGGACTAAACTTGAAAAACTTGTGTGTGTTTAAATATTTAGAAGGGGCCATAAACAAATAAAGAACAAGGGAGTTGAATCATTGATTGGTGTGGTAGGGCCAGGGGAAATAAGCAAAAGAGAAAAATGGCATCTATTGTTTTTCAAAGTAGGTGACTAAAGCGCCACAGGAATATGATAATGAGTAATAAATTGATGAGATTCCGCAAATGAGTTGCGTAGCATGCATTATAATATGGCTATTCAAGCTTTGTTTGTTAGTCTAACAACGTTTGACTTTTGAATATATTTGGCTTTCATGGTAGCTAGAGTAGTGCCTTCCTTTTCTTATTCTGAATGTGATGAACTCTCTCTCTCTCTCTCTCTCTCTCTCTGTGTTCCATTAAACTTAGTTTGATTGTTGTTTACCTTTAATCATAATAACCAACTTTGAGGGCCAATGCCTCCCTCCCATTTATGCTGCCTTTAATCTCTACAGGATTTTGTCAAAAGATCCACTATAATCTTCCAAAAGAGTAGCTGATCCACAGTTTTCATTGAAAGTTCATTTTATCTTTATCACCCACTCGTAAACTATTATTTTAATTTCTTAATTTGAAAAGAGGGTGGTCTAGATCAAACATCTAGTTTTATCTTTATCTCCAATTAAGAGTTTCCATTAGCTCTTGATGAAACTAGATGTTTGTTCTAGAAAGTGGGATTGGTAATCTCAACATTGTCTTCTACTTCTCAATTACAAACAAACACTTTATTCTAAAAATTACCTTGTAAAAAAAGGTTACATTTCATTTATTGATGATATTTTAAAATGACGCGAGATTTTCATAATGATTTGAATCCTTGGTCTCCTCGTGCATAAGTAGTGCCTTATATTTGGGATAATCTATTTTATGGTTGGTTTGTGAGTGACGGTTATGATGGTGAATTGCCATTCCTTCAACTGTCGAAACAAAAGAAACAACCTTTGTTTGTGTTAAAAGACGAGCGTATAGTTTTAACATAAGAAACCAAAAGAATTTAACTTTGAGCAATTTATGCGCAACCGGTTATCCATTTTCCTCAGTTATTTAATTCCAAACTAACATGCAAATATTCAAAAGAGTGCCGACTTCTGAACTACTTATTTGATAACTTTGAAGGAGAGTCAAAAGTAAGAACGAAAGATTTAGCTAAGTATTAGAATGTGTTTTACTTTTAATCATCTTTTAAAATTTTATGACGCGCAAAAGCTTTTAAATAATTAAAAATCATTTTTGTGGATGCTTTTGCCATAATGTTCATGGTTTTGCTCATTATGTCTGAGTTTTGACAAATTTTCAGTTGAAAGTCTCACGTCGCCTACCTCATATCATTTGGTATGGTTTAAATACATGTTAGGCTACTCCACATATTGCCAATTGGTTTTATGTTGGAACCTTAACATGGTATCAGAGCCAAAGCCTAACATCTTTCCGGTTATTGTTATGGGCCAAAAGTTGCCCTTTAGTTGGGTCAAAAGTACCCTTTGCCTGGTCCGGCAGGCTTCGTTGGAGGGGGTGTGTTGAAAGTCTCACATCGCCTACCTCATATCATTTGGTATGTATTTAAATACATGTTAGGCTACTCCACATATTGCCAATTGATTTTCGTGTTTGATTTTGAATATCCTCTAATAAGCTTTGTACTTGGCACTTTTTCCAATGTTTTTGTGGAAAGCAAGAAGATTATTTGCTTTCGGTTAAAAGTACATTTAGGTATCTCGGAACAGAAATACAAACTGAACAACGAAAACAAAGTACAAAAAAAAACTTAAATTGAATACGATTTTGAACATTTAGCGCGTAAGAAATGAACCAAATATTTAAATCATGAAAATGAACTTGGGTCTTGAATGGAAACTTAAATTAGACTATGCTAGTTCACTTTCTAAAGTCTCACATTATTCATTCATGGGCAATAACTTCTTTTAAAATTAATTGATTGTACAATAAAATCAATTGACACATTTTGGACAATAACAATTCATCAACTAATTATCGAACCTATAATTCCAAAACCTCTTTTCATAAAAGAAAACCATTATTGACCATAAAAAAGTCAACATTTCATTTATGAGATGTATCAAAAGTCAATATATAATAAGTAAAATACCCTCCCCAAAAAAAAAAACTGAATTTTCAACATAAAATCGTTTTTTCTTCTTCTTTTCTTCCCACGAGCACGGAACTTAACTAAACAATAAAATAATTGTTCTCACAATGTAAATAATTAATGCAAAAAACGGATGTACATGAATGTATATGTGCTATTTATTTTCACGCGTTCATTGTTGACCACTATCATCTATTTATTTATCTAGTTTGTTTAAAATTGACCAAATTATTATTGTTTTTTTTTACTCTTTTAACATTTTAAAATAAGGAATGTCGTGGGTTTATATGAGCCAAGTTTTGTTTATTTTATTTCATGGGAATTAATTTGAAACATAAATTACTTTTCAATTGAATAAGATGTTTATATATGATTCATAGTAAAAAAAAAGTAAAAATATGTAATGTACGATCACAATTCTAATTATAATTATCGTTATATATGATATATGATGACACTTATTTTATAATCATTATATGTATAACTTTTTAATAATAGTTCTTTTATAATCATTGTTGTATATCACATATGACGACAATTATAAAATGATTGTCATCGTATATCAATACAGCAACAATTATAATTAGAATTGTTATTGTGTGTTTCATTATATTTTTCTTATGAGAACCAACCTCCAATTTTTTTTTTTTTCTCCTCTTTATCTTCAACTATCCTCTTGAATGGGTCATTCACAATAAGTTATGTGATAAGTTCGCATATTCTCTATCTCTCCTTATTCAAATGTCTTTTTTTTCTTTCTTTCACTAAACATCTTTTTTCATTGCAAAATTCTTCAATGTGTAGAGTATGAGATGAATACAAGATAAAAGAGGACTACAAGGTGGAGGACGGGTACGAGATGAAAAATAAGTACAAGGTGGAGGATGGGTATGAGATGAATAATAGGTACGAAGTGGAGGATGAGACAAAGGTGGAGGACAAGTTAGAGAACATTGAAACCTTTTGAATCTATTACAGAGGAGTTAAATTTGCTACAAAAGATAAACTACTTATAAAAGAATATACAAATTTCTGAATCTATTACGACGAAGCAAGATCTACTATGACGAAGTAAGAAATGTGGCAGAAAACATACGATAATCATCAATGTATTGGTAACTTATAACAATGAATTAAAACTGTTGTTAATTTTACAACTTTAAATGATGATTATAAAACTATTGTTATATAATTTTTTAATCATCGTTAAATTATTTGTTTGCATTAATGTAGTGAGTTTTGTTATTATTGGGCAAAACATTGTCATCTAAAGAAACTTTATAAGAAATAAAAAGAAAATACGAAACAAAAATAAAGTACTTGTTATATAAAATATAAAATTATTTAATATTAGTATTTTTTATTAAAAATAGTTAATAAAAGATAATAACTTTCATTGATTATACGCTTAATACATGCATCAACAAACCCGCTTATCTTTTTTCATACTCAACAATTGAACCCCTACTCCAGCTATCTTATATTACCTCCAAAATATAGAGAAGAACAATGGACCATGGCAACATCAACGGCTAAAAACTAAGCTTTGGATCAAAAAGCTAAATCTAGAAGGAGAAGAACTTAAATTGGTCCCAGTTAATGAAAAAGTCCAATTTGGCAAGACTTTAATTGGCTATATTTTGTAATTAGATATTTTCATTTTTTTGTTTTACTTAATTTTGTATTTGGGTTATTTTTTTAGGTTAAGTTTTGCTCAAAATAGAAGAGACATTAATACGTATTAATTTATGACTTCATTAGGGTTACTTCTTGAGCAATATGTATTACATAAAAGATATTAGGGTTTGCTTTTATTTTCACTAAACTCTATAAATAGAAAAGCAGTTCATTTTATTCGAACAAGTTAAATAATATTTGAAGTTTTGTTATTTTTAGATGTTGGGTTGAGTATATAGATTAATCTCTTTGATTTTTGGATAACAATCTTTTTGGAATCTTATTTCATACCTTTCTTGCTTCACTTATCACTCTTTATAAAGAATGACACTTTCTTCCTTTTTTTTTTTTCCTTTTTCCATTTTGTCATTTTAATTGTTGTTGTTTAATAGTTGCGATGCACCATTTATGTTAATATTCTTAAGTATGCACAAGTTTCATATTGTTTCTACGTTTCTTTTTTCCTTTCATCTTCATAATTCTTCGTTCTAAGATAACCAACTCAAATTCTACATGTAAAAAAAAATTGAGTCCTAATTATCATCATATGAATTAATGACAATATTAAGTATAATTCTAAGAGAAGGTAGAATTTTATATAAATAAAAAATTGCTTTAGATCTATGTGGATGAGTTTCTCCAAAAATACTTCTAAAATAGAAAAATAAGAAAAAAATGAATACACTTTTGTATAAGTTGCATAACTTTAAATAAAAATGTAGATAAAATTTATGACAAAAATTTAAAAATTTTATAAAGTAGTTTGTACATTGCTTCTATTAGTTTATATATTTTTACATGCACTTATAAATAAGATAAGTAAGTTGTTCCAGGACCTAAAACTGAGAAAAGGCTTATTTGATTTTGACTACAAAGTATTTATTAAGGCCAAACAAAAATTTTATGTACCACTATTTTTGTGGTCTGAACTCTGGAGTTAACTAAATTTTCTTCTTACACTAACAAACACGAGATACTAAAATCGTGTTTTGATTGACCTAAATAAATACTGCTCATACTGTATTTCCTTAATTGTGTTTCTTTAAATATCTTACCATATATCAAGTTTTGTTTGTATATGATTCTTTTTTCAATTTACCAATTTTAATAGGTTTACAGTTTTTAGAAAGTATTTATTTTAAAAATAGTAATTATATATAGAAAGTATTTAATCTTTAAAATAATTATAAATTATTTTATTATTTGGTAAATTTAATATATTAAATAAATTTTTTAAATGTTTTTCTTCATTATTTAAAAATATGAAAATACCGATTCTAGTAGTAGTGACATGCAATTTGATGAAGCAATTTCGCTTTGAAGGACCGAATCTTCACTCCACCTACTACTACAGAGTACATGTCTATTTTTATAATTAAATTGTGAGTAGATTCATTTTGGTTTATTTTTCATAAAAATTTATTCGAGAAAAAAATTTCCCTTTTTCCAGTAAACTGAAATAATTTCAAATAACATAAAATGAAATGTGCATATGAATTTTTTGTTTTCTAGATGCTAATTTTAAAATACACTTTTTCCTTCTTCAAAGGTTTCGAGATCTCTTATCTAAACCTACCTAGAGAAAAATCTCTGAATAATACTACGAACCAATGACATTTTACAATCCAAAGAGGCTTAACCTTTATGTATGGGAGTGAACTTTTGTTGTAATTAGAAAAATTACACTAACCTTGTAGCTAACCTTGCAAATGGGATAGAGCTTTGTGAAAAAATTTTACAGGATAATTTAGTTTCGTAGAACAATCAAAATCGTTTATAATAAAATTTATTCATTTAAAATTATAAAATTTTAAATCCTACCTAAAAATTTATAATTCTTTTCCCTCGTCTCTTATATTTATATCTCTTTTATATTAAATATTTAAAATTAATTTATGATTAATACTTAAATTTCAATATATATAATTGTCTCATCCAAACCGATGATTTAGAACATAAAAGAATCAATTACACAAAATATTTAAAATATAAACAATTCATATTTTAAATTTTCTAAAATTTAAAACTTCTGATTTAAACAAAACATAATGAAAAACCTACCATAAAATTACGGTAGAGCAGAATAATTGCAACAGCAGCGATAAATAAAAGGTCAAAAGTTTAAGGTAATCTCACTAACCAAGTTACAATATTACAACATTAATTCTCAGCAATTACAGAATCCTACCTAGCTCATATTAACAAGGTTAATAGTTGTACATGATTTTTAATTTAGCTCGCATGAAATATATGCTACGCTAAGCCAGATATTGGCATGAGTTTTACGGGCAGAAATAATTCTTCTACATGGTTTTCTGGTCAACTATCCTACACATATATATATATAGCATGGTCAAAGAGAAAGTCATCAAACCATAAGCAACCACTATTCTGATTGTTCAAATGGGACACGAACAAACAACTGCCCATGCAGCGTTACCACCGCCGACGTCTGATGAGGATCAATTCTTGAGGGCAAGCTGACGACCTGAATTCATAAAATTCTTCGTGTGAGGGTGATAGAGGGATGAGTAACATGAGGGTGATAGAGGGATGAGTAACATGAAATAATGTTCCAGAAGAATCATGTAGAACCCAACAAAATCAAAAGGTTTACATAAGGATTGTGGTATTAATAAGGCTTTTACCGTATCAATCACTTACAGCTAGGAATATCAGAAAAATAAAATTGTAACTCTAGTAAAGCATACTAATATTTTGGAACAGATACAAGTGATTGTTTCACTTTAAATTCATCAGTGTTTTGGTACGATGACTTAATAGCAGCAAGAACAGACCACGTATTGTTAGAATATGTAAACAAAACACTGCAAGTTGAAACAATAGCAGTTCTGTATAAATTTTCAAAGCAAGACACGTTTTTTTAATTCTTGAAGAAAAATAAAATAGACCTTTTTGAATGGTGTCACACCCCAAGGATTGCTGGGATGCTCAGGTTCACCGCTAATGACAAGGCGTCCTGCTGGATCTGACTGTACACGAACCTAGTTTGAAAAAGTATCCACAGTTCCAATTCAGATTTTCAGTATTGTAAGTTAAGCATATTAAAGCTTATTGCATAAAAAAAATTAACAAACTTTAATAAACGCAAAATTTCACCAGACATTCCGAGTTATAAAATAAAGGCTAGAAAAGGAAAATGTAGAATGAACACTGAAGTTAATTCTGATGATCATCTGCCAGAATCAACATCTTTAAATTGACGTGGAATGGACTAATATTTTCTTTCTCTTTTGAAGAAAAGTGGCTTTCATGAAATAACTTAAACCAATACTTTTTCAAGTGTCCTATGTAGCTCATATACTACGGATAGCCTTGATATGGAACAATTTCAAATAAGAATATTATTTATTTTCAAAGTCAATAAGGGGAATATTTTAGAATATTCAACAGGTAAACTTGTCCTAATATATGCTGATTTCCCACTCTCAAAGGAAGGGGAGAAATAGCAAAACTAATATGCTTAATTTTCATCATAACACAGATTAATACAGATAAAAGAAATACAAAACAACTAGAATGCACACCTCTTCACGCAGAAGGCCAGGAACTAAAGCATATACCTCAAAACAATCTTTCTGCACAGAAGAGTTTTCATTGAAATGAGTAACTAGTAATTACTTATATGGCTTATATGCTATTTGGTCACAAGATAAAGAACTTACAGTTTTTTGTACATTGACTTTCACCCAATCAGCAGGAGGTCCTATGTCAATCACAGATGTGTCCAATCTAGTAGCCACACAAATCAACAAAGGGGATCAAGTCAGCAGATAAACCAAAGTCCCAAATTTCACAATTCCTAATTTCAATTAAAGAAACTGGTTGGCAAAACGTTTCACATATTAACTGGACAAATATAAAAACAAGAATTAAGTACGCACAAAACACAAGAAAATAGTGATTGAAAATGAAGTAATTGGGTCTTAACTGTGGTTTTGATGGTTTACTGCGAGCAGCTTTGACTGCGTTATCCATGTAAGGTGAAGATGGTTTCTTACGTTTGTGTAAATCTGAGACAATAAGGAGATAATCCAATTCTGAGAATCGTTTAAAACCTGCTATACTGTTAAAAAATGAAAGCTGTAGGATGAGAGATATACTGATGCTTTTAATCTGCTTTTCACGTTTTTGCACAGACACAGAATTCCTATCCTAAGGAAAAGAGAAGTATTAAACAATTATATGGAGGTCAAAACAGAGTAGCACAAATTCAGGGAACAAAAATTAATAATTCAAAATTCTCCAAACCTTAATAATAGGGTCACTAACTTCACCATTCCCTAGGAGACGTTGTGAGTGCCAACCCTGCATAGCCCGTGCTGCAGCATCTCTCCGGGCTCTACCTGATGCTGATGCCTGTATTCGCCCATCATTTAAAAATGATAGTAAGACAAACAGAAAACTGACAGAGTGATAGTACAATTCCCCTTGCAGAGCCTACCACAACTAAAGGAGGAATTAACTTCATTGCAAAGACAAAATAGAAATTCAAACTAATTTCAGATATTGTTCCTTCAAATTAGACACGAAATTTAACTTAGTTAATGACACACACACATGCAGTCATTACATATTTATGGGTGGGAAGGGGGAGATAATTTACAAACATACATGTCAGAAACTTTTAACATGTTATCATGACCTTACTATATTGTGAGGCAAGAAATACCCTGCATATAATTTAATTTATAGAAAGTAACAACAAAAGAATAATGCTACTTGACTTCAAAACAATTTTCTGCAGGATAACATATGCCAGCAGCTAAAACTATTGGAGATACAAACATATCAAGGGCAATTCAGAATGATAAACAAATCCTAAATTTTATATCAAATAAGAACAAAGCAGGACAGAACTCGACCTATGTTTTTCATAGCTAGTCCCCAAGCCTAAGGAGGAGGGTGATTATCTTAGGCCCTTGGCAACCAACTTAAAATTCACGGATACACCAAACATGAATTATTCATGACAGAACACATAACTTTGACGGGTAATAAATGATTATTGTGGTACTGCACCCTGACAAGGTTAAAGTATGTGCATGTTTGATTTCATTTATTTTGAGAGAAAAACAACTTTTTCTTTCTCCCAAAAGCTCTCAAAGAAAGTCCTTTCTTATAAGTTGTCTCAAATACAAAATAAGCAAAATCCAAAAGAACAATGAAATTATGGGATGCCAAATATGATTTTCCAAATATTCTGAATTTTATGAGAATGGGCCTTATATTTGCTCACACAACAGAAAGCAAAAATACAAATTACAAATCACCTGATTTTCAATATTTATAGGCTCTGGATGAGAAGCAATAGGCACGTTCAGCTCACCACCTTTTATTTTATGTCTTTCATAATCAAGAAGTGCCTGATGTAGGATATCACGAACAGCATGAATCTGTTAGATAGCATGCATATGCATAGTTCTAAAGGCACAATATGTTATGCAATTTTCAGACATTAGAAAATAGGAAAAATATTTATGAAATAGGCATTTATGTCATAGTAACCACTAAATCAAGTGCAACTAGATATTTATAGATAACTGAGAAAGTAAATAAGTAAAAAATGCATCCCATGTCACTGCCAAGAACTAAATCAAGAGAAAGTTTGGGCACAAGGAAACTATTTAAGTGGTACGAGGTCTTCTCTGATGGGGTCATAACATGAATGTCATCATCTTAACAGCCAGAAAAGAATGATAACAATGTAAAACAAATTTCCAAAAAGCAATTCATGTATGCTTATCAATGTCAATATTCAAGAACAAACAAAAAGCAGCCTACTTATAATCCTTAAAAGGAACATCACCAAGAAAATATATAAACCATGTGTTATTAGTGAAAGCAAATAATAAAAACAAAGAAACTGAATTATAACTTGCTAATATACAATCACCTTCTCATAAAATCCCCGAAAAGTCCATGAGACAGTGGTGCATGTCCTGCATAGATTGAGAACATTGCACTGTATTAATATATTATACATAATATTATGTATAATCAATTCCATTCAGACAGTACAGTTTTCTTAAAACCTCCCAGCCCCACCCAATGAGAAAATGTAAAAAAGGTGCAATTGGATAGGATCTGGGGGAAAGAGAAAAACAGTGAAGAAATATTGAAAGACCACAAGCAAAGTATGTCTTCAATAATGAAAACACCTGGTTCAAAGCTAATCTAATATGCTTTCTTAAATCAACCATTCATAGTTCAATACAAGCATCCAGCACTCTTTATTTTCCATCGATACTTAGAGCATTGAAAAACACTTCAACTTCTCTGAGCACCCATTCCAATACATACTTTCTTTCCAAAGTGATATAAACAGAACACATATAAAGACTACACAGAAGACACAAATACAAAATGCATATGTTAGAAGACTTTCATTTCAGATCCATAAACAAGATAAAGACATGAAAGTGCATGTCGGTCCTTACTTTGGAGGTTTGAAAGACTCTCCCACTTGCCGCCATAACTTACATGAAGTTACCTACTCATAAATATAAGTCAGTTAGGTGTGTGTCTTGGAAAAATCAAAACAAGTGATCAACAAACAAACTGATAGCTTAGAATGCACTCAAAGATAATTTGGCTCAAAAATCAACCTCTTATCCAATTGTAAAACAGGAAAGCTATTTAACAAAAGAAGAAAATTAAACAATTTTACAAGTAAAATAGTAACCAAATTTACAATGTGTGAAGTACATCATGGCAAACTATCCATTTATTAATTAATCACACAAACAGATTGGATTGGATTATTAAGTGAGTATTTGGCAAGCTGGTATCTTCAAGTCACTAAGAAACCACATCATCTAGGATTTCTATAATAGAAATGCTATCATCAACACAATGTAGGATTCCAAGTATATTTTGAATTACGTTCATTTGCATACTATACTTGAAACTTAAAATATCTAATAATGATACAAAGTACGACACATATTGCTGTGAAGAATAGTTAACATGTACAGCCTGGAAATATTACTTTTCCTTATTTAGATGGTTTGTGTTGTCATATTCTGTTAGGAATTAATTAATTAGACACAAGGTATTGGATGCCAAATTGATCATATAGTTGAATTTCGTGGAATAGGGATGTGTATTCTTTAAATACCCTTTTGAGATATATGAATGAAATAAATATATCACATTATTTATAAAAATTTCAATTCCTCAGTACTCACTAGTCTCTCCCACAGCATGTGTGTGTATGCAGTTGATCAGTTTATTTTATTAGGACATATAAAGTTGGTCTTCCTTGCACCTTGCATTCCGTAGAAGTGACAATCAGTGTCTGATAGACGATCAGATGAAGACTTTCAAGAAGTTTATCCAGTAACCTCCATGTGAAATTACAATGAACTTCTACTGTATCTAATCATCCATCCAAAATGTGCTACATAATTTTGTGTAAGTGGTTCAACAGGGAATAGAGATAAAAAAAAATTAATACCTTATCATAGCCACCCAATCTTGTTACAGCTCTCCACAGCCTAATATTTACCAACAAGTAAGCATTAGGTCAAAGTGACCATATTATAGACTAGTGTATTTAAGTCATATTTAAAGATAAGAAAAAGATTAAAAAAATGAACATGAATAACTCACTTGAGGCAATTTAATCCTTCTCCATAAAACTTGGGATGTTTGAATTCCATGCTCCTCTCCCTAAAGAAGTTTTCAATCTCCTTCATAAAGGCTGACTGCTCCTCCTCTGTTCCTGACTCATTACCATCATAGGAATGGTCAGCATCCAAGAAAAACAAGTGCTTTGAATTTGAATTACCATTATCAGCAGGGTCAGTAGCTTCCTTTTCATCAGCCTTATTCTCAACTTCTAATACATTCACAACTTCAGTGTTTATATCAGTAGGAGCAGGTTGTGAAATAACAGGCTCATCATGACTTGTAGGCATAGGGTCACCATCATTGTCACAAGTTTTACTATCAACCATTCCACAGCCCTCAGGCTTCACTTCCACAGCCATTTCAACAACATCAATACTATTTTGATGAATACCATCAGTATTCTCCACCTTCTTATTATTTGTGGGAAATCCTTCAGCCTCCCCCTTCGTAGTACAAGCTTCTTCACACTCAGTCCTCTCCAAAATCTGAGTATGAGCCTCTACTGGAACAGAATGAAGAGTATCTTGAACATCCTCTTGTGGAATGCCTTGTGAAACAGCCTCAAGTTCCACGTTTTTATCCTCAACAAGTGGCTCTTCCTTCTTCTTTTCAGCCTGATTTGACCCACTTTCAACATGATTTGACCCATTTTCGACAAGGTTTGACGTTTCATCTACTGCAACAGGAGCAGAAGCAGCTTCAGGTTGAACTCGATCCTTTGCATCAACCAACTGTTGGTTCTCTGCCAAGACCGAGGGCAGGCCCTGGTCAGCCTCCTCGTTTTCTTTTGCATCACTCATTTGCCAAATTTTAATCGTGCATGAGAACACAAAAACCTCCTACACTAACCATTAGAGTAATTTCAAAAAAAATAATCACTAGCTCACACGCAAAACAAAGACAAACAAAATAAAGAGAAGGGATATTTTGAAAAATAAAAAGAGAGAGAGCTTTTAAAACCCTAAGAACTAAACCCCATTGCACTAACAGACAATCATGGTTAAATTATCGCCATTAAAAAATGAAAGAAGAGCCACAGAACTATTAGCTTATGAATTACACAAAACTGAAAAGAGTATTTATGAAGTTCTTTACATGCATTCAAGACAACAGAATAAATATATTCGAACTAAGACAAAAAAAAATGGAAGGTAGACTGAAAAAAAAAAAACAGCACAATGTAGCATTACCTGTACGAATCGCAATTGAAGGGCAAGGGAACAGTGTGTGCTGAAAAAAACCCTAAAATGGAAAACGGAGATTTATTGAATTTGAAAAACCCTAATTGTTTGTCCTCTTCTCTGCGGTTTGCAGGTAATTTCATCCCAGCACGGAATGCTGGTTGAAGCGGCAGATTTTGATGCGTACTGGGAGCACGCCCCACGCGCCGCGCAACTGCAGGGGTTGACCATACGACGTCGTTCCTGCCAGGACAACTCTGAGACTGTGAGGGAATTTTGGGCCTAAAAACTGGGTTTGTATCTTATTGCGGCCCAAATAGAATGGTACTTTTCTTCCTGCACCATTAAGATTTCGTCGTGCACCTGACAATAGCGGTTAAATATTAAGAGTTTTACAAACTTTGTTCACATCCCACAAAACTCTTATCTTTTTTTGAAAAGATATTTTTTTATTGGAAACAATTTAATCGTCTTACAGAAAGACAATTTTAGAAGTAATTTAATATTTTTACAAATTCAATTCACCAGGATGTCTAGGATTCTTAAGCGAAACAATTTATCAATTTATAATTTATTTCAGATAATTTTTTTGTGGACAGTTTATAATACATTCCAATCAATTTTGGGTCTTGAGGCAGAAAAAATAATTGATTGGCGGATCCCCATCTAAGAGATGGGCACAACATGAAAAAGAAAATACATTTGTGAGAATCGTATACTTATAAATATTTTTATTTTATTTTAAAATGCTAAAATAAAATTATTTAATTTTTTTGAAATAAAATAAATATTATTGTAAAATAAAATTATATAATAAAGTATTAGCATAAATAAAAATAATCTTTTTAAAATATAAATTCAAAAAATAAGTTATAAAATAAATAATAAATTAATATTTAAAAAAAAGATCATGAATCTGTATAAAAACAAAATATATAAAAACAGACAATAAATAATACTTTAATTATAAAAGTTTTTTCTCATCAATAATTTTATTTTAACACCTTAATTACAAAAATCATTAATAATGACTATTTATAAGTATGAATATTATGATGCATATATTCGTCTCGTTAAAATACATGTAAATATTATTAATAGGTATCTTTTTTTTAAAAATTATTTTATATCGATGTGGGATTTTACTCGTTTACTGTATTTTTAAATCCTAAATTATAACGAAAAAGGTATATTAATTCCAACATATATAAAAAAAGTTGAAATCAAAATATAATTAACTAATAGAATTAATCTCTATCATATTCAATCATAACTGCAAGCTAACAAATTGACAATTAATTAAGTTTCTAATTGATGCTAAAAATAATTTTTTTTTTAAAAGTACCTAACTGGTAAAAAACAAAATATTAGAGAGGTATCAACCAAATAATGGTAACACCCTTATCAAAGTGACTCATGGATGCAACTTGCCCACATTTAACAAAAAAAACAAAGATTGAGAATAAGACTAAAAAATAGAGGTTCTTGATCTCTCATATATTTTACAACCATTATTATAATAAGTTTCATGTTAAATATTCAAGTATTATGTACAAAATTAACAGATTAAATCCATAATTTTATGGACTAATCTCATAATTCAAGTATGATCAACGAATAAAATATCTAATTACAAAAACATAAGAAATCACGTAGTTTATCAGCCAAAACACCGTGAGGCAGTTTTAATTTTTTAACCTTCAATAATTTAAAGTAAATAAATTTAAAGAAAAACATAGATACAAATAAAACTAAAATAAAAATAAGAAATAAGATACACAGGTGTCAGGTGACATTTTAAGTTTATTTCTTTATATATATATATATATATATATATATATATATATATATATATATATATATATATATATATATATATATATCACTACTACAAATAAAGCTTTCAACGTCGGTTCTGGAAGGCTTTCAACGTCGGTTTAACAACCGACGTTGTATCAGGCGACGTTGAAAGTCGTACTTTCAACGTCGGCTCTAAAAACCGACGTTAAAGTTTTTACTTTAGATAGCGGTTATAAGGGAACCGCTATCTAATATACAGATTATAAGTCGACTTTCAACGTCGGTTTATTAGAACCGACGTTGAAAGTATGATTTTTTAAATTAATAATTTTTATTTATTTACAACCCCTTTACCCCTCTTTTATTTATCTAGAAGTCTCCCTCTCTTCATATTATATTTTTATTAGGTCCTCCATCTCTTTATATTATATTTTTTAGAAGTTTTTTAATTTTTAAGAGAATTGTCATTGGCAGGATTCAAACCCAAGTACTTTAGAGTTGGAGGTCGATACTCCAACCACTAAACTACTTGAATTTTTTGATAATAACTTACAAATAAATTATATTTATATACAAATAAATATATATCCGTGTAAATTTCACTACTAGAAAAATGTCAAATAGTAACTTCGAATCTCAACCTCAACCTCAACCTCGACGAACTCGAGGCCGAACCCCAACTCGGCGACATCGAACCCCAATGTCAAGCCAAACCCAATTGTCATGCTCGTGAAACCCAACGCAAACCCAGCGGAGCTCGAACCCTAATGCATACCCTAGTGACGTCGAACTCTAACCTCGAGCCAACCCCCACTTTAATTCGGTCGCAATTAGCGATTGATTGATTGCTCAAGGATGTGTAAAAGATGATATATTCAATGTATGTTAAAAAAGTTCAAGCCAAACTGTTTTTATAGAAGATTTTCAAAACTGCTGGTTTAATTAATCTGTTAAAAGATTCTTTTAATCTGTTAAAAGTGCAGCTTTAATCTGTTAAAACTTCTTTTAATCCATTAATACGTTCTTGATTCTTTAACAGATTTGTTTTAAGCTGATACGACAACGTTTATATCAATTAAAACACTTTACAAAAAATCTTCTAAGTTGATTTAATCGATTGTTTCGCGATTCAATCGATTGAAATACTTGCAAAACTTTCTCGTGACACTTTTCAAGTAATTTTAACTGATAAAAATAAGTTTTAATCGATTAAAACGTCGTGTAGAAATTGTTTTAATCGATTGAAACGAGATTTAATCGATTAAAATAGTTCTGATCGGTCATAACTACATTCTGATCGATCATAATTGAAACAATATAATAGCGGTTCCAGGTTAACCGCTATCTAAAATGTATCTCGCTTGAGCGACACCCTTCTCGCTCGAGCGAAATGCCCCCTGCACAAAATTAGCATTCTCGGGTTGTATTTTGTTTGAGCGACACTACCCTCGCTCGAGCGAAATTAGAGTCTGATCGATCATAACTTGAAATGATCGATCATAATTGAGAGGATATAATAGTGGTTCCCTTATAACCGCTCTCTAATATACACTTTAGATAGCGGTTCCCTTATAACCGCTATCAGTAAGTAAAAAATAAAATAAAAAAAAGACTTTCAACGTCGGTTCATATGGGAACCGACGTAGAAAGTACTTTCTACGTCGGTTGACTAAGAACCGACGTAGAATGTGCTTAATATTCAATTTCAACGTCGGTTCATCTGAGAACCGACGTGGAAAGTACTTTCTACGTCATCTCAGCTATAACCGACGTTAAATAACGACGTAGAAAGTATATTTTGTAGTAGTGTATATATATATATATATATATATATATATATATATATATATATATATATATGAAAGATTTGCCTCTCTCTTTTTTTTTACGTGGAGCTTTAAAGATAGCAGTAAACATAACACATTTTTTATAGTCAAACCGTAATTTTTATTTATTTTCCTTTTTTATTCTAGATTTGTGATTTTTTTTCTCTACTATCTTAGTTTCTAAATTTTAAAAATTTCACAATTTTGTTACATTCTCTCGTTTTATATCTCTTCATTTTTTTTCAATTTTATATTTTAATTATTTCAATTAATTCTTCATTACAAATTAAATTAATACATTACATATAATTTTACTTTGATCAAAATAAGAAACAAAAGGAAAAAAATTAAATATTTGACTTGGTAGATTTTTTTAAAATGATTAAAAAATAAAAATAGAAAATGAATAATTTAAAAAGTCAAGTCAAATTCTCAAACGATATCAATAATATGACTATATCTATAATTATATACAAATTCAGGTCACACAAATAGCAAGTTTCTACATGTGTCACTACCACAATTTTCTTCAAAAAAAAAAATAGAATATGTACAAAACATACATATTTCAAAAAAAAGGACAAACTACTTCCTTTGGGTCACAAAAACGTTGCAAGCTCAAATACTCCCTCCTTAGCCCAAATGTTCTCCAAGTCTCCTCCCATATGCTCTTTCGCTTAGTAATTCTGCAAGCCTTCTTCGTTGTACATCTTCATCACTGAGTAACTGAACATTCGGACGGTCAAATGCAATCTTTCATTTTCTATGCAAGATCAGTGTCTCAAACGAAGTATCAAATCTCTTTTGTTGCACGTCTTCCCTCAAGTAGGATTTTCATGTGCACGCTCAGATAGGTTATGCTATCTTTCTTACCGATTTACTTTTGGATCTAAACCTTTTTCATTTAAAGGTTAACGATTTCATAAGAAGATTATTGATTTGCTTTGATGTAAGGTTTTTGAATTTAAAAATTACCAATTTATAATGTTTATT